CCAAATGGAAGAAAAATTGCAATTCTAGATGCTAATAATAAATACAACTGTAGCAAAAAGTCAGTCATATCACTTTGGAGCATTATAGTATCGTAGATGTGATTTAATCTTTTATTTTCCTGTCTTCTGTTTATTAATGCATAACAAATGGCTTTAAAGAAAAAAAATTCTGAAACTCCAAGCAAAAAAAGAACTTCCTCTTCTAGACATTGTCAATCTCCTCCAGTTGTAGTTATATTCAAAGACATGGAAAGTTTCACCACCAAAGTACTTCAGGACTTCATAGTCATCAGCAGGTAACGTGACCTGAAGTTCAGTTCTTCCACTCCTTTACCCATTTTCTACTTGCAGCTGTTCTGAAGTGTAACATTGAGGCCCATGGAGAGTTGGAATCAAATATTGATGCTGCTTCTTTGCAGCAGTGATTGAGCAAAAAACTATTTGCTACGTTTTGGGGATAAATTATTCTGAAGCTAACCTGGGACTCTGAACCAGAGTGCCTAAGAACTTTGTTGAGATATCGCGTGGATGATTTAAGTCTTTACATAAGAGGATTTATTGGTATTCATTGTTACAGAATTTGTGATTCTGAAACTAATTTTTTAAGATGACTAGATCTTTCTTCTGTAGACTTTTAAAATTGTTTGCAGAGTATATTTTGCATATGACTACTGATGTAATGCTGCTTAAAGGTCACTAGCTTACTAATAGAAGTATATAAAACTTCCCCAGAGAATTTCTCAGTGTTGGCTAGGATCTGTAATGAGTAGATGACTACTTCAGGTGCTACTGTGCTTCTGTCCTTCCTTCACGCATACCAATAAAAAACCTATGCTGTTCTCTAAAAAGAACATCTTACATTTAGTCCCCAGATTGAAACTATAGTTGCAGCAGAACTGAGGCTGCAGTTGTACAATTAATTCAGCTGCAGCATGCACACCTGACATTACCTCGAAACAAGGCTAGACAATTTCACTTGCTGAGAGACCCACAATAAAAATATTTTGCCTACTTCAGATCTGGCAAATGGATTCTCTGGGGAATATTTCAAGAAGTAAAATCAGAAATGCACAATTATCTGGAAGTAATTAGGATGTAAGGCAGGGGGAAATGAGGTTTTAATTGTTTTTTAAGTGTTGTGTTTTATTTTGCTTTTTATGGCAAGGATAAATACCTAATTATGAGCATGTGGAATGTAAATGAAGTGCAGTTCAGGTCTATCAGTCAACTATTTGCAAATACACTTTTTTCATAGACTGTGTCTCTTCACAAAATAGGTTTAGAGGATTCAAATGGTCCTATAACTTAAAGATTATCTTGATAAAAGTAATGGGTAAAATAAAAGCTTGGCAGAGTTGCATAATGCTTTGAAAAAGACCTTTGGGATAATTGTAGAGATTGGGTTGTCTCCGTTTCAGTCTTACACATGTTTAATAATAAGGGTGAAGTGGGTAAATGTGAGAGGTTCTTCTGTTAATCACAAGATTCAGTTTCTCTCAGTAATATATGAAGTTTATTTGGTTTATGTTTAAATCTCTAGCAAAGACTTTTGAGGAGTTAGAGAAATTAAATAATTGTGTTATAACAATTAAAACACAAAGGTCCAAAAATCGCTGTGGTGAAAACAGGGGAAAGGAATAATTTGTCAATTTTAACCTAGAAGATATTTAAGATAGCAGAATTTCTATCTCCTTGTATCTAATAAAAAATGGAAAATAGTGATGAAATAATACTGGAAACATTGTATTTTGTATAAATTGTATGCTGTTCACAAGGAATAAAACATTCGGTCCTACTTATCAGTTCCCAAAGCTTATACTAAAAAACTATCTGAAGAGGAAGATTGAATCTGGAGAAGTTGGAATTCTTTTTTTTAAGTGTAATGGGAACATAGAACGTTAAAGAGGTTTCATATTTATTTTAAATTTATTAAATGGTATAAAATTTGTACGTTTTCTTGAGGCTGTTAGCTGTTTAATGTCTCTTCCTATTTTTACTCCATTTCTTTGGAAAAAAAAAAATCGTAAGATTCAGTTCTCTGACTTTTTGGGAAGAAAGGACTGGTACCATACTCTAACTGAAAACATGCTTTTTATGCCACTTCCTGAAATTTGAATCCTAAAATGTAATTCAATTTGCTTTTCTACTTTAGGGCTTTAAGTAGCTTCCTTTCTTTTTTATTTTACTCCACATCAAAACTCTTTTGGTTTACTGGCAACAAATCTTTTAATTTACCCCTTTCTGCATCTAAGCTGCAGTAGCAACATAATGCATTTGTTTAATGATTTTCTGTAATGTAACTATTATGTTTTTTTCTGTCTCACCCCATGATCTAGTCAGCATATTCGTGAATTACCTCTAGTCCTGATTTTTGGAATCGCTACATCTCCAATGATTATCCACAGCTTACTTCCTCACTCTGTTTCCTCTCTGCTCTGCATAGAGCTTTTCCAGTCCCTTTCCTGCAAGGACCACCTGTCTACTATAATTGAGAAGGTAATTTCCTTTCTAAATAGGAGTGTGTGTGTAGTCAAGCACAGTGTACATGTGTGGACTTTAAAAGTAGGTTTGTCTGAAACTTTTGAAATGGAATCTGTTCCAGAGAGCTGTGACTTTTGGATATTTCTACTCATAGCTGCAGAGTAGCTTAATACTGAGAACTTCCTTCTCACATTGAGATGCACTCACACATCTGCTTTCATCTTACATTTGCATTCACATCTGTGCACGCATACTTGGGCGATTATACTTTGACATTCCCACCTCTTCATGAAAGTAGTGCTTTGATTTGAGTTTTACTTTGTTCCAGAAAACGATAGCTTTAAACATAGAAAAATTCAGTTCAGCCTGAATTTTGCTGCCTGTCAAAAATTAGCAGAGTTATCCAAATGGTCAAGCCATATAGACACTGTGCCTGTGCGATTCCTGGTACAGCACTTTGCAGGATTTCCAAAATCGCTGTTACACGTGCTGAAAATAGTGGTATGCCTGGTTGGTACAGCAATCTCTGTTCTGTTGTTTGCAATTTTAAAAATAAATACAAAAACAGTGTTTTGCAAAACTAACTTCAAATGTTGCATATTAGTAAAAGGTACTTACAAAAATGTGGTGAAATAATAAACTGGAAGTCAATCTTTGTCTGGATGTTGTAGTAGAAATACTGGTTTTAGAAGTTGACAACATGTTTAGTATCTCATTTAGTTGAATGCTAACACATACTGAGAGTTATATCAAATTGTATATATAAATTTTGCTAAGTTGAATTTAGGAAAGAATTTCTGCTATGGCTACACTTTTCCTTTTTTGTCTCCCTTAGCTGCTTCTGACAGCCCAGTTTCCCTTTAAACTGGGTGAGAAAGTTCTGCAGGTTCTCATCAACATATTCTTGTACCATGATTTTTCTGTCCAGAACTTTATCAAAGGATTTCAGGTAGGCAATGGTAACAAGAACTCAAATTATGGTTGTGGAAACAAAGGGTAATTACTAGGCACTTAAAGATTTCTTAGGTCCTAATCTCGCTGTCACAGGACTGGATGAAAAAATGTCCTTTGGAAACAGTTTGGATCTGTGAACAGGTGAATATTTTAAAGTTAAAGCTTTAACTGTGAAGGTTTTAAAGGAAAACTTGGAGGACAGGTATAAGATGCATGTAAAAGCTTACTCTGCACCCAAAAAACTATATTTAAAGGTTACATTTAAAAGGGTAACCTGCCTTAGTGGGTAGAAAGACCTAGATTTTGCTATAGGTTAACTTGTAGCTTTTAACACCCTTGGCAGAATTCTCCAGTTCTGATCCTCTGTACAAGGTCCTTGTACTCTGGTTTGTCATGGTGTGAGTAGGCTACAGCAGATTCTCTTCCCTTCTTGATCTCTTCTGGCACAGTTTATGGATGTGCACTTCTTGCCTTTTGAGGGAATAGAACTGTAGGGTCGGTCACTTTGTGCCGCAGAGTAGGTGGTGCCTGTGCTCCAAGCAGCTGTGCAGCAATGCAAGAGTTACATTTACCCTCTCAGGAGACAAAGTGGAAGACTTCAAGGTTTCAAAAACTAGTCTATACAGAGCATGATAATTATATTTTTATCGGCTTATATAGATCTTCATATCTAGATGTATTTCTGTGTCTGAGTCTCCTTGTAGCTTTTGTGGATTGTGTCCAAAAAATTTGTAGTTCCTGTAATCTGTTTTAATGCAGGATTGTGAAATTGTTTCTTTCTTGCCTTGTTCCATGAGTGAACCTTTTAGTAAAACATGCCCTTTTAGTGTCATATACCTTTAGAGTGTCTCAGATTCTTTGATATCAAAGATTCAGTGATTACACATGGCCAGGAGAAATATCGTGGCTGTAGTACCTCTTCCTGCAAGATGGACCTGCATGGTCTTTCATAGATTTCAACTCCTCTTATTAGAAGAGTCACCAGGATTTAATGATTTCGCCATTGGCCTGATAGGATGATACAGGTCCTAGCCCTGACTGCATATGGCTGCGTCTTTCTGTGTTAAAAGTATTCAAGGATGAAGTAATTTCAGATCAAATTTCCTAAGTGCTAGATACAAATGATCACCATCATTTTGTTATGTCTAGGATTGATATTAACTTTTCTGGTAGGAAGGGTCTTTGACAGTTTTCTATGTTTTAGAAGTTTTTAGTGAGGTAGTCTGATTAGGTTCTTGTTTCTTTTTTAAGAATAGATGTGATCAGTCTGTGCTACTATTCTGCAAGGCCCTGACGCTACAAACATTTAGTACTACTGAAATCAGTGACAAAGCGTGTTTGTACATGTGCATAGTAAGAGCTTAGCAGTGGATTTTTGTGTACATGAAACAGAAGTTGGAATTAGGACATGTGATAAGTTTGCTTCTGTACAGTAGTTGCTTTTCATTTCTTTAAATATATGCCTTGTTATTTGTGAGCGTTGGTGCTGAAGATGTAACCTAAAGGATGCAGTAATTCACGTAAGTGAGTAGAAAATATTTGACAAGCTATAGTTATTATGTAAGAGGAGGGAAAGGTGAGGGTACTGAATACAAATAGTGCACAGACCAAAAAAGGTGATTATGTGACTGTATTTAAAACTGAATAATCAGTGTCCTGTAGTGACTTAGGGAATATTTATGAACTGTAATGAATTTTTTTTAAAGGAATACCATTACTACCATTGTAATATATGCACTGTAGTTATAAGAAAGCATTAAAAAGTAGATATAGCAGGGAGGATGGATTTTATTAACATCACTGGTTCTTGCTTTGTTTTTCAGCTCTGTATTGTGGAGCACTTCTATTCCCAGCCTCTTAGTGTACTGTGTTGCCAGTTGGTAGATGCTAAGAAGAGAGTTAATTCTTTATCACATGACCAGTGTGAAAATATTCGAAGACTGCCCTCTTTTAGAAGGTAAAAAGGGAAATAATTTTTTGGACAATCTTGTATTTAGTCAGCTTTAGAAAAGATAAAAGGAATCTATAAACGTAGCTTCATGAAAGCTGTAGATCAGTTGTGCATATGTTTCTATAGCAAAGGTAATTGATCAAAAGTACAGTTCTAAATAATTTCAGGAAGCCTAAATCTTCTGGTCTAGAGAGTACAGCTTCTGTGATGTGTAATCACTTGAACTTTTTTTTTCCCCTCTTGTTCTTAATACAGAAACAAGCTATTATGACAAATAACCATAAATCACTTTTGAACTTGTTAAGCTGACTTGGAGCATAATCTCTAGGGTTTTGGAGTGCCCTTTCAATTTGCTGCATTTGACTCTTTCCAAAGAAATCCTTGTAGCAGCATAAACTTCTTGAATTTTTTTAACCCTATAATCTTTAATCATCCTTTACATTATAATTTTTAGGTTCTTGTTTTTTCTTGCCATCAGGTATGTGGAAGGTCAAGTATCAGAGAAACAGATTGCACTGCTGACAGCAGACAACTTCTTAAAGGTAAAATTTTAAGAATGTCTTTGGAGAGCAAAAGTTACTTCCCTTATATATTAGTTTGTGGAGCATAATAAAATACAAGACTAAGATGTAGAGTTCTGTATAACATCTTTCATACAGTACATACTGTGCTTCATGTCCAGTAATGGAGAATTAGAATAGGCAGGTCAAAATTACAAATCTCTAGGATTGCCAGGCATACCTTTTATAGAAAGCTGCACAACTTTTCTTACATCAGTTTTTAGCTATGTCTAGAAATTCAGCTGCTTAAAAAGAAGGTTACAAGTTTTATTTATGGCCTGGTCTTTTAATGCTTAAGTCAGTGAAGTGTTTGAAGAATGAGCAAGTAATCTTTGAGGTTATTTCATAAGCTCTTAATCCTCCATACTCTCTGTGTAGTTTCTGATTGAACTCAGTAGGGCAGTCTGGATCCTGAGGCACACATTCACACTAGATGTCGTACAGGATTAAAACTTTAATTTATGTTACATGTTTGTTAAGTGATTAAGTCAGGCTACTACTATTGTAGTATTGTAGTCATGTTATTACAGTGAGGGAAAGGGTAGAATAAAATTTTGTCCCACTCTCCTTGCTCCTTTTTTATTTTTTAAGAACAAAGATTAAAATTACTCAGGGCAGCATCCCCAGATGTAGCCCTTTAGGAATTCACCAACAAAGGTCTATTGGTTATTTTCACTAGCTGAACCACTCCCAGTAGAAGCATTGCTCAGCGTAAAGGCTTTCTCCTAACTCTTCATCTCAAGTATAACTAACCTGTCAGGCAAATGGTACTACTAGAGATAAAGCAATTAATTTATCCTAGCAGAGCTTCCTGGTCTGTGAGGACTTTTCAAGTGTGAAGAGCAATGGTAATGGCTGGAAGAGAGATTGGTAGAGCAGGCAAGTTTGCAAATGCAGTGCAATTATAATAGTCAAGGCGAGACATGATTTTATGATCCATAGTCTCCAGTGGCAAAAATAGCTTAAGCTTCTGCTGTTCCCTGGCTGTTTATTAACACCTCAGCAGATGTCCCAGCACAACTGCTTGTGTGGCTGTGCGATGAATGTCATCAGAGAAACAATCCAATTAAAGCAACCTGACTAAAAAAAAGACAAGGCATGGGACTTTTTTCTGCTGGGTTGTTTATGCAGAATGATTTCCCTGATGCAGTTCACTCTGCAGGTGCATAAATACTTCTGTTGAAACAACAGGAGGAGGGAAGGAGTGAGAACGAGCAGCTGAGACTCTGTTTCTTTGTTTAAAGTTTAAAGACCATATAATGGGCTGCTACTTTGAAAGTTGAATACTCATCAGCTTAAACTTTATATGTTTAATAATATACCCCTTATTTCACAAGCCTTACCCCTAAGTTTGGGAAAGAAGCTGGAATTCTTGTGCTTATGTGCATGTGATGCTTCTGACAAATTTTAATTGAAGACACTTGTTCTAATCTCTACGATTGAGGGCAGGACTATCATTGCATTGTCAAGCTGGCAGTGTAGTCTACTTGGGGAGAAAAGGCCCTACTGCTGCATTAATGAGGTGTTGTTTATTCTGTATGTTGCACTAACGCACTTTGTACTTGCACTAATCTATCATTCCAAACTTCAGAAACACTTTCAAAGTCACAGTGGTACTACTTCATGTAAATTTACTGTTCGTGTTCAGGACCAGGTAAACTTTCTGTTCAAGCTTAGCACCTAAACCTTCAACACCCATTGTCAGCTGCAGTTTGTATTCCATGTTGTTACCACTTTTTTTAATAACTATGGAAAAGAGTTCCACCTATTTAGTATAATCAGTTTTAAAAGCAGTTTTACATCCTAATTACTTACAGCTCTGAAAGTTTTCATGGCAATTTTCATTTGAAATTATGTAAATGTGGCGATCTATATTTATGAAAATAACATTGCATAGTCTTCTAATAATGTTTTTAGACTCTTCTGAAACAGAATATGCCTTTTCACTCCATTATTTGGTGAAATACATAGTCCTACTGTACTGCTATTTATGTATATTAACTACATCAGTCTTGAGCTGGGAAACAAGATGAGGGAAGTACAGATACTATCATGCTCTGGGTTTGGGGGAATAAAACTGAGGTAGCAGCATTAAAGAGAACTTGTTTTCTTCTCTCAGCTTTTTTTGTGGTGGGGATACTCATGTTTCTTTAATGGTCCTGCTTAGAATTAAAATTATTGTGAGTGTCTACCCTAAGGTCTTGGATTTCATTTAAACAATTGTTATATCTGTGACCCTCAAATTCTAATAGATAAAAAGTCTACAGGGAGAAATGTTTTTAATCATCTTGAACTTTTTTAACATCAGAAAGCTCTCTGCAGCACTAAATGTCTTTGTTACTTTCAGTCTTTGCAGGATGATACTTAATCTTTCCACATGTCAGTATTTCCTTATATTGCCTGCAGACAAGGTTTTGCTTTTTTTCTTTAATCTTTGATACCCTTTGTTTCAGTTTAACTTTAGAGAGCTTCAGTGGCTTACTTTATTTTTTTCTTTCCATTTGGAATACTTTGCTCAGAGTTGAGCAAAATGACAATAAAATATGTAGAGAATCCTGTGGTTTTTTTCCTCTTTATCTTTGACTGAAGACAGGTGAGAGGACATCTGACTCACAAACTTAAATATAATGAGCCCAAAGTACTTTAATACAGCTATCAGAAATTTTAAGCGCAGTTTCCAAGGAGTGTTACAGATGCTTCCATGGGAGGCCAGTGATAATGAGATGCCATCCAGTAAATTCAGTAGCAGCAGTCAATAATTTCTTTTTCTTAATACATGATTTTATTTTTTTTCTGCAGTTCCCAATCTGAATAAACAGAAGTCAAATTAAGAGCACATAGGAGCAGCAGCTGCCTATTTCTTTATTTTCTGTGAACTGGTCTTTTTATATATACCTAACTAATAAGAACAGCAGCCACCCACGATATAAGAAATAAATTTTTAAATGTATTTGTAATATAAAAATGCAAATAATAAGGATTTGAGTAAAAGTAGCTGTATCATTTCTCATTGCCTGTTAGAAGTATAGTGTATAGTCTTGATTTTGCAAGATGACATACCAAATCTAAAGGCTAAATATAGTTGAAAATCGTAAAATAATAATGCTAATCAATAATAATTCTCTAGTGAGATGGAGGAAAATAGTAAAGTTAACAATATGCAATGTGATTGTAGTGAACTGTTGAAACACAGCTTTTTTGCATAGTGGTCTTAATTTAACACTGGTGATTTAAATAATAGCATACCACAACGTCAAAACTTCAGAGTCATTTTAAGTACTTTATGAGACTTTTAAATAATTGGATGTCAGAATGACTTACAAAACAATTATTCTGTCACTGTAGGAAACAGTACAAAAGTTGTTGGAGGACTTGCATGTTTACCATGAAAATTATGTTCCAGTTCTGAGATGTCTTCATGTTTTCACATCTTCTCTTCCAAAGTATCCTTTGGGCAAGCAGGTGATGTACTGTTATTCCATTTTAGTGAAACATGGTTTTTTTTGTTTCAAAGCATGACATATGAATAAGTATTTATTTATTCTTTCTCTTTGTTTTACTATTCTCCTGCTTTGCCCCCTACTTCTTAAAATGGAGACAGACGCTTTCTTTCTATGGGCAGAGGGCAACAGCATGTGGTTTCTTTAGTGGTGTGGATGATACCTTGTCAGTCAACAAAGGCGTTTCCAGGAGGACGCAGATGTACAGATCAGCAAAAGAATCCACACATTGACTTCCCAAATCTGGGATTATGTGTATGCATTGCAGACAGTGTATGCTCTTCTACCACCTACTATCTCACTAGTCAAATTCAGATGAAGAGACTGAGTTTTAGCAACTTTCTGTACAGAATGAAATGATAGTAAGGCAACAGTGATAATTGCTTTCAATAGCCATATTGCTCTAATGTCATTAAATCCACCTTCTCATGCTAAGAAATTTCTCATTCCACTAGAAGAGCAATATATTTTATGCATGTGCACTTGTCTCTCAGTTCTCAATGTATTCCACACTGTTGTTAGAATCTGTCCCTAACTACAAAATCAGCATGAACTGTCCCAGTATTGAGAGTAAGAAAATGTTTTAGCTAGGGCATTTGATTGGAGTTCCTCTCAGTTCTCTTCACTTACCTTCATCTCAATGTTAGTTGTTTGAAAGCCGGTGCAGAGCAACACATAGACTCCAGCAACACTAGGAGCTTGGTTCTGTAAGATGCTAAATACTCTCATTTCTTTTTCAATCATTCTGCATCTCTGGAAAACAAGCTCAAAAGGAATTACATATTACTTTGAAAAGCTTGTTGTAAGAGTTCCACATTACATTGTTTGTAAAACATCGTATCCTTTCTTCACCTTCTGCATAACAGATCAGGGAGCTGCACTGTGCATGTTTGGAAAACCAAGTGTGGGAAACGGAGGAATATGAGTCATCTCTTCAGCTAGCAAGGTGATTTTTTTTTTTTTCTCCTCTCATTTTATTTTAATACCACTGTACACATGGAGAATATCAGTCATCGGTTATTCTGGAATTTAAAGCTCAGGATATTACCTGTTCACAGCTAGTTGTAGGATTGTTTGCAAGTATAATTGACTGCTGTTTTCATTTTGTCTTTCTACTGTTTTCCATGAAACTCGGCCAGGTTCTAATATCGCTTATGCCCTGAGTAATTGTGCTGAAACCACTGCGATTACTGTCTGTGAATGAGAGCATCAGTTGAGTTTTGTCTTTTAAAGTATGTTGTGTTAGATATTATCAATCAAATTATTCGTTTTAGTTGGCCTAAATTTTAATCTGTTGTGAAAATTAGAATCTGTTCCAAATGAGTAGCTGAGGCCTTTCTTATTTTTTTATTTTACTGCTCTGCCCCTGCCTCCTGTGTCTTAACAGTTTGTACATGGACTGAGTTAATTTTTTGTGTTACTGTGAGCTTAGGACTTTAGGAGAGCCTACACTTGTGTTGTTTGTCAGTGTTTAAAATGGAAAAATAATCTAAGCCTATTTTCTTAATAGAAAACCCTTCAATTGCAATGTTGCAGCTACAGACTTTTAAACATGCTTTATCATGGCAAGTGGCTGTTTCCCGATAGCTGCATTCATTCAAATAATATATTGGTTCTGTTGCACAAGGAGCTGATGCAACAACTGCCTCTTCAAGTACCTCTGAGCTTGTGAGGTTTGATGTGTCTGACAATAAAATTGCATAGAAAAACCGTGTCAGTGGTGGGTGGAGGATAACCTTCTGGGCTCATACACACAAAGAAACATACTCTTCAAACTGTATGTTTGCCATACTGAGTGGTTCTTGCACATAGCCACCGCACTATGTTCTTTACCCTCATTCCTTTGAAATGATTACATACTTGATTTGTCATTTCTACAGTCTTTCCTTGTTAATGCCTCTCTGGCTTTCCTGAATCTCGACAGCACTCAATCACTTATCAACCCTCGCCTACAAATGTGTCATTTTGCTTTCCTGTACTGTCTATTCTACCCAATTACTACCCACTGTTGGTCATACAGGTTGGCAACGATGAGTTTGCGCTAAGAAGCCCACAGGCAGTTAAAAGGGACTTCAGAGCACTGGGGTGACAGATCGATAGAGCGGGAGCACAGGTAGTGTTTTTGTCAATCCCTTCAGTGGCAAGGAGGAACACTGAAAGGAATAGGAAAGCACACTTGGTCAACACGTGGCTCAGGAGCTGGTGCCGTTGGCAGAATTTTGGGGTTTTTGACCACAAGGCGGTTTACACAGCACCGGACCTCCTGGCAGCAGATGGAGTGCAGCTGTCTTCAAGGGACAAAAGGATTCTTGCTTACGAGTTGGCAGGCCTCACTGAGAGGGCTTCAAACTAGATTCAAATGGGGAAGGGGATAAAACCAGTCTTACTAGGGATGAGCCTAAGGGTGGCATGCCAGAGTTGGGGGTGAAATCAATAGCCCAGCTCAAGTGCATCTACACCAATGCACGCATCGTGGGCAGCAAACAGGAGGAGCTGGAAGCCTTTGTGCAGCGGGACAGCTATGACTTAGTTGCCATCACAGAAACATGGTGGGATGAATCTCATGACTGGAGTGCTGCAATGGATGGCTATAAGCTCTTCAGAAGGGATAGGCATGGAAGGAGAGGCAGTGGGGTGGCTCTGTATGTTAGGGAGCGTTTTGATCGTATAGAAATCAACGATTGTGAAGACCCACTCGAGTGTTTATGGGTAAGGATGAGGGGGAAGGCCAACGAGGCAGATATCCTGCTAGGAGACTGTTATAGACCACCCAACCAGGATGAAGAGGCAAATGGGACATTCTGTAAGCAACTGGCAGAGGTCTCGC